GGTTGCCGTCGCGCGCCACATACGCCCGCTGCGCATCGGCCAGCAGCTCCTTGAGGACGGTCGGGTCCCGCCCCAGACACGACAGGTACAGCCGTTCCGGCACCCACCGCAGACTCACGCCGCCGTTGTTCTCCTCCCGCTCCCGGATGAACGCCAGCGGCCGCCCCTTGTACCAGAAGTAATGCGTGCCTTCGGCGGGCGTGAACCGCAGCGTGCGGTACTTGTCCTTGCTGATGACCTTTTGCCAGTACCGATCGAAGTTGGCCAGCATGTCGCTGTTGTCGTTACCACTGTCGTCGTCATCACCGATGTCCTCGTCATCGGACCCCTCGCCGTTATCAGAGTCCCAGTACCGCATCCCACTGCTGATCTTCGTCCCCGCGACGAAATGCGTCGTCCGCTTCGTGAACGGCTGCTGCGCCATCCAGAACATAAGATAATTATAGATTTCGTCGTCGAGGCGGATCTCCGCCGTCGAGGTGAAGTATTCCCCCAGCAGGCGGACGATTTTTTTAATACTGTAGCGGAGGGAGGCGGTAACTGCGGCTGCCATCACAAGGAAGGGCAGGTAGTACGACAGGTCGATCTGGAGGTAGGAGACTAGAAAGCGAGAGAGGACAGAGTAGCCCGGTATAAAGGCGTCCAGGACAGCCGTGTCGATGGTGGTGGCATTTCTGCTATTGTTGGTGACGTTGTGGTCCAAATATGAGGCCATGTTCGGCATAGCCATGGACGCAATGACGATGACGACGACGATGAGAAGGTCAATGAAACGGAAGAAGACCAGCTGTCTTCATCGCTCATTATATACGTTTCCCAGGCCTTTTATGCCGCCAGCCTTGTAGGTCCGCGCGCATGTTGCACCAGCTGAACAATAGGCATCAACAAAACCAGGTCCACAGCAAGAGCCTCATATCGTAAGCCTCATGTAGAAAGCCCAGTGTAACTGCGGCTCCATTCAACTGACTATGCCCCGCATATGACTACATTCTAGTCAGTAAGAGGCTAGATTAACCTTGTCGGAGATCAAGTTGGGCAAAAATCGGGTGGCACTGCGCTGAGACTGACTCATTGCTGCGGAGCCATTCGACGCATCAGTTGCGGCAGGTCCACGGCTGATCCGGATGGTCCACATTTATAGTGAGCAAAGTTAGCGATCGGGGTTCCAAAATCGGTTTGGTTTGGCAATGGTCTATGGGTAGTATTTACTCATGCTTCTAGGGTGGATTGAATATGCATTCATCTAACAAGCAAAGGGGTATCTAGATTATTAGTCCGACAATAGTCGGCTCTATCAACATGTAACGCTCCAGTAAATGAGACATCTACGCTTCTCGAACATCGCCCATCTATCCACATTCACACAATATTGTCCTTGACGGTCTCGATTATATCACTGGCCCAGTTCTTGAGCTCCTCAACTTTGCTCCAGAGGGTTCCCCACCAAGTAGGGCCCTGTTCGTCGTCGCTTTCCGGTTGGTTTTGTGGCTCCGAGCTGGACTCATTTTCTGACGGTGAAATTGGCAGGACAAGAGCTGTTGAAGACACGCGTGATGAAGTGGAGGCCGGTGTCATGGTCAGCGAGGAGACTAGGCTCACAGTAGCGCTGCTGATCGGAGGGTCAGCAGGCTTGTCGACAACCGGCGCAGCTTGATCAGAATGACGGCCCACTGGCTGTAGTGGAAGGCGCAGCGTTCCGTTGTTGGGGAGCGGATCAATCCCCAGAGAATCGCAAACCAAGTTATACACATTGATATTCTCTGAACCCATGTTAGCTTATACTTGGATCTTTCTGCTGTAGAAAAGGTTTTGCTCACGGAAAACTTCTAACCGGCTGTTCGGTGGATGAGGAAACGCAGGGCCCTTAGCAATGAAGATTGCGCGCATCAGAGGATGCTCATGGTCGTAACCATGAACACCCTTTGGATGATAAACTCTTCCCGTTCGGATGGCCTCTTGAGCATCAAAATCTGGTCGCTCGACGATCGCCCATCCGGTCTTAGGGATCACCCAAAGTGGAGCAATACGGTCATTGCGGGTAAAGTGATATCTCTCAGGCATTGTCTCCCGTGTGTAGACTTCCACCGCATGGGGGTATTGTAGCGTCAGGTTTTCCAGCTGATCTTGCAAGGTCTCAAGATCCTCAGGCTTTTTCGGCCGGATACCGCGCAATGGCCATCCATCAATGCGATCGACCAGACCAAGGTCAATAAAATCATCCAGTTGTATCAACCGTTCCGTAGCTGTTGTGGCCATACCATGGTCAGAAACAATAACAAGGTTGACAATATCGGTCAGATTGCGATTTCGAAGGCCCGACATCAGCTCGGCCAACATGCTGTCAACCTGCGATATTGTATTACGTATCTCTGTACTGTTCGGGCCAAACGTGTGCCCATCTGCGTCAACATTGGGAACATATGCAGCGACGAACTGCGGTCGCTCGGGGTCAACCAAGGACTCTGCTTCTGCGCCTGGCAAGTCAAGCAGCTCCAGAATCCGATCGACTTTTCGCGAGAGCTCTTCTGACCCGTTGTACTTGTCCAAATATGTTGGGTCTACGCCCCCAATGTGCGCTTCGGAGCCAGGCCACATATGAATCCCAGTTTTAAGGCCGTGCTTTTCGGCTGTCATCCACAATGGCTCGGCATTCCACCACTTAGGCTGCATGCTGATTGACTGGTTGGTGTAGTGGAAATTCTCCTTTAGGATAGGATCCCAGAAAGTGTTGCTCACGATACCGTGACTTTCTGGATATAAGCCCGTGACCAGAGTGAAGTGGTTCGGAAATGTGACGCTGGGAAAGCTGGGGAGCATATACTGTGGCGAAACTCCGTCGGCAATAAGCGCTTTCAGTGTCGGCGTGAGACCACGATCGAGAAAGTCCGCCCGGAACCCATCGAGGGAAATCAAAATGGTGGTAGGACCAAAGAGAGCGGTTCCGTTGGAAAGCAGACGTTGGGGAGAATGCGAAGCCCGGAAGCCACTTGAGGCTTTGTATGCACCCAGCAGGAATATCAGGAACAAAACCAAGACCGCCGCAAAGACCAGTACCAATCTGGTCCAAGAAATTCGCCGTGGCTACAGTGGATTAGCAGTTTGAAATGAAGAAAAACGAATCAAGAGCCCACCCTTACTCGACTATCCGCGTACTGCTTCTCGGATCGCTGGTCTAGCTCTGACGAGGAACCGCTCAGGAGCGAGGATTCGGACTCTCGATAGCCCTCTTCCATCTCGTACATTAGCTCCCCATTTTCTCCTGCAGCACTACGACGACGCCGTTTGCGCTCATCTTGTCGCTTCTTCCTCCGATCCCGACTCCGCTCGTATTTCCCGATCTTAACGCTGCTGCCGTTCGGGCTGAAGATCCGTCGCAGACCATGAGTTGGCCCGCTTCTGACCAACAACTTCTCCATCTCTTCCTCCTCTTCCAGTACTGTACGATCATGTTCGGCCAGCTCTAGTGTAGTGCGAGACTTGCGAAGGAATTCGTCATCGTCGGAGTCAGAGTCCTGCTCTGATATGGATCGCAAGGAGGAGGCATCGTCGTCGTAATCACCGGGGGAGAGGAGGGAGGGACTGAGAAGATCAGGTCTCGGAGGCATGGCTGTGCAGGTCCCTTGTCATGACATACACAGAGTAGAAATTGCAGAAACGAGGGTTCGAGTGTTGATGGCACCAGCATGGACAACAATGATCGCCTCAAGTGGCTCCTCCGTGATAATGTCGAAGTGGATCAGGATTGCCTTACCTAATACAGATTAGCGCCTCTTCCCAGCTCTCCACACTCCATCTATCAACACTCCTCAGTCCTCTTTTGACATGGATATGGGGAAGAATGAGCATATGGACAGATAGATAAGTGGTGTCGATCACAGCTTAAGTACACATCTTATATATCAGATACTCCAAGCTTGATTGGACATGCTTAAATCTATATCACCAGAACATGTTCATGAGTGGACAGGAACTCTTCGGACACTTGAGGCTGGCCGCTGGCCTTCAACAAGTCCTCTGATAATGGTCTACATGGCTAGAACGGAGCTGTGTTTCCAAGGTCATGCAGCAATGTATCCATCGACAACGTGAAGACATTTGTTTGTCTACGCTGCTACAATGATATCCATCGGTCATACAATTTAGCATAAGTATGCAATAGGCCACCGTCTCATACCGCCTGTCTATGATGGTCGCTATATACTAAATATACCATTGCAGTACAATCGCCTCCTGTCTTCTTTTGTCTCTGTCGCTTGCATGAAATCCTTGAATCGCCATCAGCTTTTTTGGAAGGAGATGCGTATATGCTCACTCCGGTGATAGGAGGTGATTGCGGGGAAGTCAAAGACGCAGTCCAGGGCATATTCCGGCCGTTTCTGGCTGGGAGTGCTTCTTTGGATAAGTTATACCGGAAACAAAGGCTTAAGCAAGGAGTTACTGTGGGTGATCTGAATCCGTTCGTTTGTTTGTTGGCAACACTGTTTTCCGTTTCCGGCGATGAGGAGGGTAGCCCTGAAGCCGTATATCACGTGCCACAACATTCCTCTCGGAGGCAATCAACATCTGAAGCTGGAAAGACTTCTGCAGGCGGTGTCTTACAAGGGATCGCGCCTAGGCAGCTTCTAGAAATGGACAATCATGTGTTTGTTTCAGTCTCGTTCTCTTCCAGATGCAGTACTATGCTTTCCTCCGCCTCTTGACAACCAACCTATTCCAGGAATAGCGCTTTGATTGAACGAGAACGAACATGGACATGCTTGATCATCGAATACACTTGATGGCAGCCGCATTGAGGGGCCTCGTTGGTCTATAAGAACCCCGAGACTCCATTCAAAAGTTACCCTCGACATCGTTCAACACCTGCTATCGATTTTATCAAGTATCTACCCTCAACTGATTGCCTTGAACTTCGCGACTTGCACCTTGCCTCAGAGCCTTCTAGCACCTGTGCTTCATTCTCCATACTATCTCTACATCTATTCTCCACAACACAGATCACAATGCGTGTCTCCGTTCAGATCATCGCCGGCCTGGCCCTCGCCGCCGGCACCGCCAACGCAGGCCTATACAGAAGAGCACACCAGACATCCACCAGCAGCGAAATAACCACTACCCCAACCGAAACCGCCACTATGACCACCCCCGTCATTGATAAAGACCCCTCCGCCACCGAGACTAGCGCCTCCGGAGCAACCGAGAGCGACGTCTCTACTGTCTTCTCTAGCGCGGATGCCCATCCCACCGAGACGACAAGCATCCCTCTCATCAAGCCCACCGACGCCGCATCCTCCGAAGCTGCTAGTTCCTCCGCCGCCGGCATCTCGACGGCCCCGCTTCCCAAAGCTACCGGTACAGGCGACTACGTTGGTGTCGTTGATCCCACTGAGGAGTCGAGCAGCAGTGGCGGCCACAGCAGTGGCAGTGGCAGTGGCAGCAAGAGTGGCAGTAGCAGCAGCGGCGGCAGCAGCAGCAGCAGCAATGACAATGGCGAAGAGAACACTAAACCCACCACATCCCGTCATACCAGCCCTGGTTCCACCCTCGTCGTGCCTGGCCTCGCTGCCCTGGGTAGCCTTGCCATTGGCCTGATGGTTCTCGTTTGAGTGGAATTGGAATGTCCTTGACTGTAATTTGGCGATGTCGGTGGATAGACGGAGATTAGATTACAATGTTATTATCAAGATCGGGCGTTGGTTTAGCTTGAGTGGCAATCTGTTTGACAGTTAAAATTGACGTCAGGGATCTTTATAAAGCAATTCAAATTAATCATTAATTCCTAGATCAAAGCCCAGCTTTTCTCTACGTGAACAACTATGATTCTCACAAACTCCCTATTCATAAATGCGAGCCACTGAACATGGTAAAATGACTTTTCTCTGGATGCAGCGCGAAGATCACGACGTAGAAATCCAATTCACCCACTGGCACGAACAACCCCCCGTTCCCCCATCAACTCCATCCAGCTTCAAATCCGCGTCCGACGAGGAGGTAAGGTTGAATATACCCGGCGCCGGATTGACCAGTTTTCCACCGAACCCCCTGTCCTCAACCTGCAGTTTCTTCTCCGTCGAGTTGACACGTTGGTTCTCCTCCATCGCGTAGCAGTACACCATTTTCTCCTTTGCAACACCGCCGTGTCGGTCCACCGTAATGGTCACCGGGTACGGGAACGACCCCGGCCGGACGAAGTCTGTGGCGGAGGAGGATGCGGTTGGGCTGCTTGTCCCTGAGGCGGGGGAGGTAGAGGACAGGGAAGATGGTGTCGGTGTGGTACTAGGACTGACGCTGGGATTACTGCGGAGGAGTGTCTTGCGCGCGCGAGTCGGCTGCGTCCAAATCTGCACGAGGAAACGAGTCTGTGCCCATGTGCAGCGGACGCGGGCATTGGTCTCGCTGGCGCCGCCGTTGGTGTCTGCGGGGGAGTTGTCTGTCGTGCTGCCGTTGAGAGGGGCAAGGCTCTCGAGGAAGATGGAGCGGTCGAAGTACGTATAGAAACCGTAGTGTTCTGTGTCCTGGCCCCGGTTGTACAGGCGCACGGGCTGGGATTCAGGGAGTGGATAGAGGGTAGCGGCTGCGGCTGTGCCGTCGGAGTTGAGATCGGGAGATGGGATGAGGGATTCGATGTCTGGGAAGGAGCTGTTAGATCGGCGAGACAGTCGGGATGAAGAGAGGGTGGCAGTCGAGAGGATGGTGATGAAGAAGGGAGTCTCTTCGCCTGCGTAGGGGATGGCGTTTTGGTCGGTGCTATTGCCCAGGAAGGTCTGGTCTTTGATAGTCGGAGGCGATGGTGATGGGTTGAATGATCCACTTGTATCTCTGGTCCTGTGGCTTGAAGTGTTGGCAACCATTGTGCTGTTCGCATAGGTCCCGTTACGGAATCGTATCTCGACTCGGAAGCTGGGCTGATTCGGCGCGTACGGCTTGTTGTTTGACTGCTGTTCCGGCGGCAGAGCGCAGCTCCAGAGTGTGGATGGAGTGATGCATCCTGAATTTTGGGCCTGTGGCTCTGAGCCTGCGATTGTCGCAATGCCAGTCGGCATCGGTGGATAGCCGGTCAAATTGAGCCACTGCGACTGAACAGGTGTGCCGTCCCCTTTCCTGGTCAGCATAACTGCGAGGACAACGGCAACTACTACAATCAGGACAAAAAACGTCGTGATCGCCATATACCACCGACGTCTCAGGCGCCCTTCTCTTCCAGGCCTTCCGAAGCAGCCTTTGTTGCTGAAACAGCCTCTGCCTCGCCAGAGTCCACCAGCTTTCCTTCCAATAGCGTCCTCCTTTTCCAGTCTTCGTCGTCGGGTTTCGATCCTCTCTCTTTCGAACCAAGGGTGCGTCATCTGCTCTTGAGTGAGAGGAACAGGGTCTATACGAGGCGGCAGTGTAGGCGACTCGCTGCGACGGGCAGTATAAGCTGGGGCTGGTCCAGAAGTCATCTCAGTCAATGGGATTGACCCACTCCTCACTGTTGCTTGCTGTAGACCAGGAGACGTGGCATCGGGGGTTTGTGGTTGGAGGTGCCCGTCTCTGCCATGATTCGGAGGTGGCACAACAATATATTGAGGGATGATTCTCTCCTGCGGAGCTCCAGAGGCCGCTGGTAGGGGTTCAGGTGGTTGAATGTTAATGTTTACGGCCGCAGGAGTGATAGTGTTCGTTGGTTGGAAGAAGAGGTGAGAGGCTTGTTTCTCCGGTCGATTCCCTGCATAGACAGGAGGCTCTCTCTCGAAGGGTTCTGACTCAAGAGAATTGTCTCCTGGTCCATCTGCTGTGGCCTTCTCCAGGCTTTTCTTTCCCGTGTTTGAAATCAAAGGAGATGCGGGTTGGTCATCCACGGCGGTGGTCCCGGATATCGAACGAGCGCCAGATTGCGAGGCGCTCTCAAAAGGATTCACAGAACCTGAGTGAGACACATCGTCATCCACATCGATGAGGAGATTCTTTTCGTTATTCTGTGGCCTGGCAATAGAACCGGCAAGAAGAACCGGGATCTTATCCTTCGGTGTGATAGAACAAACATGGTTGATGCATTCGAAGTACGGCCTTCCGCTGAATAGCTCATGGGCACAAGCCTGGTAGTATTCGGCAGCTGCGCCCTGAATTGTCTCCCCTTGGAACACCATCTCCGTTGTTTCCTTTTCATCGGTGTGATTGACGTGCATGGAGTTGGCATCCGCGAAGGGGTTAGCAACACCCACTTGCCAATTCATCACTTCGCCTCTAGTGGCTACGGCCGTCTCAGGGGTATCTGGCGAGAAATACGAGACTTCCTTCTCCCACCACTCATCGCTTGATACCGTCGAGTTGGTGAGGAGCGTCGGCATAGGAGGTCGCTCCGTTCTGGTCGGGGTTGATCTACTGGCTATCGTGCTCGACCGTCCCAGCATAGGCGACAGGAGATAAGTCCACCAGCCCTGGGATTGGTGTCGATTGGCATCCGTCATCACACTCAGTCGATCCAGCCCTCTCTTCGAGCTCTCCGTGGAGAAAGAACGAGCACGCAGTCCCTGTCGCGGACCATCATCCTCCTCAAACACGGTCCCAGTTGAGAATGAGCGTTGCTTCCTTGTTGACAGGACAGATTCCCTCCGAGACGGGTCGGGCTGACTCCTCTTCTCCTCGAAATGGGACGCTGGTATGGCTGGAACTGGTGGAATCTCATGCCTCCCACTTTCAATGAATGACGTGCGCTGCGAATAGATACTGGAGGTGGCCCGGGGACGGTTGAACTCCGGGGCAAGTCCTTGCCAGAAGCCCTCGTCTTTCGCGGGAGTTACAACAATCGAAGGCGTCATAGGTGTACACTGGCTTCCCGCGCTATCTAGTCCCTTTGCTCCGTCATCTTGAGTCTGCACCGAATCCTCAAATGGTACCGTATACCCGATCATGATGGGCCGATCAGAAGGCGACAGCTCGTCCTTATACTTCTTCTTCTTCTTCGGCGACGTCGTAATCTCCGACCTGAGCCAGGACAACCGCCTTCTTCCCGGATCAGAAGCCTCGTCAGGTAGGCGCTGGAAGCCTTGAGCCGTCCCATTCTTCAAGATGCCTCTGATCTTCTGCGAGGCCCGTTCCCTCTCACGAACCTTTGACAACAGCTTCAGATCATTCAGATCCACAAACGCAGGACCTGCCGCCCCAGTTTGTATCTTGGGCACTCCAATCGGAAGGTCCGTGATCAAATTCAACCCCTTGGGTTTATTCCCTTGCGCTAGTATCTGCGCAGTATCAAACGCACCGATCTCGCGTTCAACCAAGCGGTCTCGCCTCGCGCCTGTGGATTCTGCCTTAAGGAACGGGTTCTTGTCTGACACTTTGGAGAGGTAGTCAAACGGACGGCTCAGTTCCATCTCTCTGTCTTCATCCGAAGATGCAGCTGGGCTGGAGATTTCCTCAGTGATTGGGGACGATAGTGGAAAATTTGGGACTTGGGGAATCTGTAGCTGCATTTCTGGCCTTTTCGGTTGAGGAGGCATCTCGTCTCTTAACTGTACGAATGCGGGTTAGACTTGAGCGACTCTGTTTCTGTATAGGTTTCTGCAGTCCCAGGACGTACCAGGGCAGACTGTAAGACTTAACAGCAAGCCAGCACGGTATAAAACGGAACGCGCGGGAGTCTTCAGAGGAAGTGTTCGTCTGGACGGGTTCAGGCAAAGAAATCTCGCGAGTATAAGAGACTGAACAAAGCACATGCAAGAAACCAGTGAATAAGGAGAGACTATAACCACTGAATGAAACAACGCAACAATGAATCCGCTATTGTTCTCATCACACGGAAACAATGAAGAGATGCGGCAGATAAGAAAGAGAGAGAGTACTCCAAAGCAAACAAATAGAAGCCAAGTACCCTGCAAGAACAAACCAGACGGATGCAAGAAAGAAAAAGAAGACCAGAATGCAAGAAGCTTTGCAGGAATTGAAAAGCTACTTTACTAGCGATGGATCTAGAGCCCATGCTTCATGTACCTGCCTACTACACCAATGAATCATTGTGTTGAGATCCTCCATCCTCGACGCACGACGCAGGCAAATCTCCGAGCTCCATAGCTGCTACAGTGACTGTTGCGTTTTGCCGGTCCAAAACGCCTTGATTGGACTGAGGTGGACTACCAGATTCTGCAGGATGGTGTCGAAGATGGGATATAGAAGATATCATTGGGTCGCGGGGGGTCCTGACGAAGCTGTAGCCGCCCTGCTCTCAACCCCGGCCGGGCGCTTAGAGAGAAGGATTGGCACGGTTATTAGAGGCAAGAGTGCCAATCAGGAGAAGATCGTCCCAAAATAGAGCCAGGAACGCCTTTGGTCTTATTCGCAGAGACTTTTGAGTCTCTCGGTGGAGACAGCGACATGGCGTAATACACTCAGATCTATCGTCCTGGATTTTGTCTGTTTATTTCCGGAACACGTCCTATATCTCATACCTTATACCAAACACCCGAGGAAGGCTTCATGTTGCTATTTTGAAATTTTATTCCGTTTCGATAGATCATACAGAAACATCGTCAACCCCGTTGGTCGAGTCCTTTGACGGATAGAAAGATGCCATCAAATGTATCCCATACCCAAAACCAATTGCTCTTGGCGGATCCCATGCAGAATGAAG